AGAGAGAGAGAGGGAGATGTAATTCGTTTACAATGTGTAATGAAATGGTTGTTGTTTCTCAAAGAAAAAGAAGCTGATTTCTTATAGAGAAACGATTCCCATGGAGAGTTTGGGTTTCTCCTTTTAGTTAGAGAAAGTCTTGATTGCTCTCAAGGATCTCTTTTGGAACTGTGGTTTAGCTATGGAATAAAGATGGGTCTCTTCCTAGCCAGTAGTTTAGCAGTGTAATGGAGATGAGAGATCGGCGGATGGTGCCAGTTGGTGAGAGTGGATCTAAAAGGGTTTGCTCGACTGGGTTTTGTTGAGGGTTAAATAGGTAGCTCTTTGTCCCAAAATGTTTTATGTAACTTTTTTTGGTATAGTGGATTTCAGTTTGTCATGCCCGCAGGGATCGGCTACATGAATCTTGATCCCCCATTCTGCTTTATTAAAGGCCATACTCTCAATAAAACCATATGTCATAAGTCCCCATATCTTTTCGGACTACTTCTAATCATGTCCTTTTGAGCCTACCCCTTGCCCTTTGCACTTGTTCCACTTGAACTAACTCGTACCTCCTAACATGTGTTGTAATTGGTCGACTCCACACATGACCCTCCCACCTAAGTCTACTCTCTCTCATCTTATCTCCTATTGGTGCCACACCTAAATTCTCCCGAATGCATTAATTTTAAATTCTATTCTATCCCTTCTTGTCTTGCCATTCATCCATCTCAATGGACCACGTAAATACTTGCGTTATTGTGGAGTGTGTGTTTCATGTTTTATTTCTCGTAATATGGCTCGTACTTTGCCTATTTTGTTTCTAGCTGGATAAGTACATGATCTTTGTGGAACCCAACTTTTGGGATTCTTGTTTCCGCATCTAAGAGGGTTATTAAATCCTAACAATATGCTCTGATAAACTTGACTGCAGAAACCTGAAGTCCATTGGATTCATTACCAGCCAATGAAAGAATGGACATTGATGGAGAGAGGGTGGGGCCCACCACTTTGGTCATGTTGTTTCTAGTGGATACTATCTTTCCATCAAATTCATATGTTGGTGATGGCCACTATGGATTATGCGTATACCAAAATCCATTAGGTTCTAGTATATTTCCTGCTGGACACATCATAACTTTAATATGAATAAGGTTTCAAAAAACGCTAGGCGGCCTGCCTGGCGCCCAGTGCCTAATGCCTAGGCAAGCGCCTAGGCGGGCATCCCGTAATTTAAAAAAAACAAAAAACGCCTAGACCACCTGGCCTGCCTGAGCGCCTACCCAGGTACATCCGCCTGGGTGCCCACCTAGCTCGCTTGGGCGCCCGCTTAGCCTGCCTGGGCGCCCGCTTAGCCTGCTTGGGCACCCATCCAGGTACATCCGCCCGTGTAGGGCCTCCTGGGTCTAGGCGGGCGGATTTTTGGTCCAGGCTGCCTAGGCGTCAGGCGGATCGTTTTTTAAAACATTGAATATGAATGCACAGCTAAGAGTATATCCTTTAATGTTGCTGTGTTATTTTTAATGTTAAAGTTGCTGCATCTATTTAACTAGAACCATTTCACTTTATAAAGGGATGAAAAATCACATCTTTGCTTGGGTGTTCGGCGTGAAATGCGTCAACAAACAATATTGTCATCTTCTGTTCTATCTGTTGATAGCATGCACATTGGAGTTCTTGCTGCTGCTTCCCAAGCTGCTACATATCATAGCCCATTCACTGTCTTCTATAACCCCAGGTATGCGTTAGATCTCTCTCTCTCTCTCTCTCTCTCTTTCTAGTTTACGTGTCTTGGATTATTTTATTCTACCCTTTCATATTTGTTCAGAGCAAGCCCTTCTGAGTTTGTTGTTCCATTAGCCAAAGTGCACAAAGCTGTATATGGCAGACATACTTCCATTGGAATGAGATTTGGCATGATGTTTGAAACGGAGGAGTCAGGTAAACGCAGGTATTTTCATAAAACTATATTTTTCTGAAATCAATGATGTTTGGTTGTATGGGGCTTTTTATTTATTCCATGCTATGTGCCTTAAATAAGTTGAATGCATGGGAAAGTGGAGACTTATTCTTTGGGTATATCTTTTAATAATTCGAGACTCACCATTAGGATTTATTTGTTGGAGGAAAGTATCTCCTTTTACTTTGTGACACACTAGCATATAAATTTTCAGCTAGATACTAGCATCCCATCATGTCTCATTTTTGACATTTGGTGCCTCTACTCTTTAATACTTATTGCTTGTGATTTCAATCTAAGTGAAAAACACGAATGTACACACCTTTTGGGATCTGATTGCTTTGGGGCTACAGTTCAAGGTTATGTATTTAGAGTTGTTCGCATGTCACTCTACATAATGCTATTAGTTTCTATATATGTTGATTTACTTAATGGCATCCATTATGCAAAAAGGGACTGACCTGGGATTAAGAAGACTCTTAACCTTGATGTTTATGGCCATGATCGTATATTGTCTAGGACCGTCTCTCTTTCCTTTAATTCTCCATTTATGTATTAGATTTCAATAAAAATATTTCATCAGTATTTTATTATATTGTTCATATAAGGTTCTAATGGCATAATATACACACTGGCACTTTCTTATACAAACAAACATAGTTACATGTATGTGTGAGTCTGCGTGCTTGCACAAACGTGTGTGTTAGAATGAATGAGCATATTGTTTCATGTATATGTGGCTGGTCGGGCCTGGATTTACCTTGCTTGGGCTCCCTTGAGGACCCGGGCTCGATGAACCCCCTCTCGGACAACCGCTCGACTGCGCCCTGCGATTGTTCGAGAGAGGATTCTTTCGACCGGGTCACCCATATCAGGCCGACCTGGGACGACGGGAAATCAAGCCCAACCAACTGGCGACTCCAATGGGGATGGTGAGGGTTTAGGTAAGGCCAATATGAGGTGGTTTTTGGGTGGCTTTTGGTGGTCTTTGGATTAATAGTTGAGGTTTAATGGGGGAGGTAATCCCAACAACATCAGTACCTGAGCTATAAAATTATGGCGTGACTCACCGGGGTGGTGGATCAGGTTGGTGAAGCTCATTGTGAGGACGAGGTAAGGCGATTGATGCTCTCATGGTTTATGAGCCATCGGGGTTCATGGAATGATGGGAACCATCCATTAGATAACTGATGGGCTCATTTGTACTTATGCATGTTCGAAGATCACGCAAGGATGCGCCTTCACTGGGGATTGAGCCTGTTAAGGATAAGGGTATCCTTTCAAGATGTTCTTCTCAGGTAAATGAGAATATGACAGGTGAGATGGTGGTCAGGCAAGGGTGACCATTCAAGGGTATAAATGGTGCCTAAGGTGAGGTGAGGACTCCTTGGGGATGATGAGCGACACGATTCTGTGAGGGAGTGGTATGCTCAAGAGTTGGGATTTTGGTGGGGAGTGAGGGTTTACTCTCACAGTTGATGGTGGGCTCACATGAGAGTGGTAGCCTCGTGGTGGTTGTGGATGGATCAACTCACTGGGGGAGTGGGTAGTTGAATGAGAGCGCTCAAGTAGGGGTGACCGCCTCATCGAGGGAAAGTTTGAGGTCCTCACCTTGTCTAGACCAAATAGGGGTGACCGCCTCATCGAGGGAAAGTTTGAGGTCCTCACCTTGTTTAGACCAAATAGCGGTGCTTTTAAAGTCCTCACCCGTATTGGACTGTTGAGGGAAAGTTTAAGGTCCTCACTCACTTTAGACCAAAGTAGGGGTCCTTTTAAAGTCTTCACCCATGTTGGACATGCTGAGGGAAAGTTTAAGGTCTTCACCCACTTTAGACCACAGTAGGGGTAAGTCTTCACCCATGTTAGACATAAAGAGGCTTTTAATGTCTTCACTCTCATTGGATGTGATCAAGGATCTTTTAACGTCATAACCTTTGTTGGTTTTTTGCAGGGGTCTTTAATCGTCATAACCTCTGTTGGACGAACTGAGGGGTGCTTTTAAAGTCCTCACCCTTATTGTACATAAAGAGGCTTTTAATATTTTCACTCTCATTGGACGAGATTGAGGATCTTTTAATGTCATAACCCTTGTTGGACGTGTGCAGAGGGTCTTTAATTGTCATAAGCCCTGTTGGATGAGCTGAGGGATGGTTTTTGAGTCCTCATCCTTATCGGACATAAAGAGACTGTTAACGTCTTCACTCTCATTGGACGTGACGAGGATCTTTTAACGTCATAACTCTCGTTAGACATTTTGAGGGAAAGTTTAAGGTCCTCATCCACTTCAGACCGAATAGGGGTGCTTTTATAATCCTCACCCATGTTAGACGTTTTGAGGGAAAGTTTAAGGTCCTCACCCACTTTGGACCGAATAGGGGTGCTTTTATAGTCCTCACCCCATGTTGGGCGTTTTGAGGGAAAGTTTAAGGTCCTCACCCTGTTTAGACCAAATAGGGGTGCTTTTAAAGTCCTTACCCATGTTGGATTGTTGAGGTAGGGGCACGCATGACACGAAGTGGGATCATGGGGGCACCATAAAGCGTAGGTTCCAAGGGACAACTGCAAGTTTTGTGAAGTATGTGGCTCTCTTAGGGGTGTTTGTGACATGGTTGCTCATGACAAGACTCCATGGGGGAGCTGTATAGTTTTGGGAATCCCTTTGGGGTAGTTTGACCTTTGGGACATTACATCATGTGTGGCACTTGAGGCGGCACATGTTCGAGACTAGGGTGATGGTTCCTTGGTTTGCCCTTAAATATGATTGGTTGCCGAGGAAATGGAGTATTCCATGGTCAAGGTCCCATAAGAGGGTGACAGATTGACTCATGGAGAATGTTGTGCCTTCAGGAAGAGCGAAGGGCACTTTGGGTGATGGGAGTGTCCTATCAAAGATAGTGGTATGGTTTGGTCACACAACGAGACTGTGGTATGCCTCTAATAGGGATATTGCTACTTTGCATAAAGAGGCAGTTGCATGCTTTAAAAGTCACACAGTCAAGATTGGGGTATGCCCCCATTGGGGATGATATTGATGTTTCTTATGAGGAGGTGGTGTGATATGAAGTCACACAGTCGAGACTGTGGTATGCCTGAGATCAATACTTTAGGATGTTGAGTTTGGAGTGATGGTGCCTCTCCACAAGGGTTATGGCCTTGCGAAGAGGTGGTGGCATGACTTAAAATCACACAGTCGGAGCTGTGGTATACCCCAATTGGGAGAACGCTCAGTGGTGGAGTTTGGAGTGATGGTGCTTCTCCACAGGGGTTATGACCTTGCGAAGAGGTGGTGGCATGGCCTAAAATCACACAGTCGGAATTGTCGTATACCCCAATTGGGGAGAATGCCCGATAGTGTTGAGTTTGGAGTGATAGTGTTCCTCCATTGGGGATATGATTTTATGGAGAGGCGATTGCATGCTTTGAGGTTACACAGATGAGACTGTGGTATGCCTCAATCGGGGATAACACTGGAAATTATGGTTAAAGCAATGGTGCTTCTTTGCTAGGGGTGTTTATGAAGAGGTGAAGGCATGGTTACAAGTCACACAGTCGAGACTGTGGTATGCCTCTTTTGGGAATATTGCTTTGTGTAAAGGGGCGGTTGCATGCTTTAAAGGTCACACAGTCAGGGCTGTGGTATGCCTTGATTGGAGAGATCACTTTGTGGTGTTGAATTTGGAACTACGGTGCTCCTCCATCGGGGATGTTGGAGCGATGGTGCTCCTCCATTGGGGATGTTGGAGCAATGGTGCTCCTCTGCTGGGGGTATTTATGAAGAGCCGGTGGTGCAGTTTACTGTCACATAGTTGGAATTGTGGTACTCCTCCATTAAGGAGAGCACTTTGTGATGTTCAATTTGGAGTGACGGGGCTCTTCTACTGGGGATATTGGAGTGAGGGCGCTCCTCTATTGGGGTATTTATGAAGAGGCGGTGGCATGGTCTACAAGTTGCACAGCCGGGACTGTGGTATGCCTCCACTGGGGATATTGCTACTTCGCACAAAGACACGCTTGTATGCTTTAAGGACACACAGTCGGGACTGCGGTACGCCTCATTTGAAGAGAGCACTTTGAGCTTGTGTTTGAGATGGTGCTTCTCCACGGGGGATGTTAGAGTGACGGTACTCCTCCATTCGAGGTGTTATGAAGAGGCAACTAGATATGGGCTATAAGGGGCGAGGTGTCATGCGGCAATTCCACGAGGCTGTGTAGAAATGAGAAGCAGTTTATAGTCCTGCAATTGGACTCTAGGTCTCGCAGTTTAACGTCGTGCCACATGGACGTAAGATAGTGACACTTTACCCGTGATGACCTATAAAATAAGATCGATACGTCCATCATTTGAGAGTGAGTGCCCTGAAGGGTTTTCATCCCATTCCTTTTATTTTGACACTTTTGCCCATATTGCCCTTGCTGGTTTCACTACGGCCGTCTTTTTCTCTTTTTTTCTTTTTTTGACTTATTTTGCCCATTGTGGCTTTTGGGGTGCACACCATGTCCGTCATTTCTTTTTTTTTTTTCTTTTTTTCCTTTTTTTTTTTTTTGACTCTTTTACCCATGACGCCCTTTCGGGTTTTCGTCATGTTTGTATGTTTTGGGAGGCACTTTTAAAGTCATTCCGCTGTGACCCTGGGGAAGAGTGTTTAAGGTCATGTTGTCATGACCATCAAGTTGGTGTATTTTAAGGTCAACCACCAAGATCTAATGGAGGCAAGTTTAAGGTCGTGCGTTCAAGTCCGTAAGATTGATGTATTTCAAGGTCATCCACCAAGGCCTAATGGAGGTGAGTTTAGAGTTGTGCCTTCGAGATCGTAAGATTGGTGTATTTTAAGGTCATCCACCAAGACCTAATGGAGGCAAGTTTAGGGCCGTGCCTTTGAGACCGTAAGATTGGTATATCTTAAGGTCATCCACCAAGACCATGATGCGATGCGGTTTAACGTTATGCCGCCAGGACGATAGTGCAATGCAGTTTAATGTCGTACGACCAG